TAAATAAGCATCATGTACAGAATATGTTTAATCACCATGCATACTGGCACCCCAAGCTGCAAAGTAAGGAGGGTAAGTTTAAGTTCTGCTAACAATGATCAGATGTGGCAGAGACAAGAGAAGAGGACAAGTTCCATCCACAATCAATACTAAAAATGGAACAATGAGCACTGTGGTAAACAAGACATTTCTCCCATTTTTTCTTGCCAAACTTCTTTGCAGAAGGAGAATGCAAGCTTATTTGCGGACTGCTGTATTAGATGTGCACAACCCTGGAAGTACCACATTATTTTAAGTATGTTGGCCAGAGCTAGGAGTTTGACAGAAAGAAAGTACTTGAATAGCTCTGCACTGACCCCAGAATATCAGCTGCATTATTTACTTCTGTAGCAACTACTTGCAGTAGCTTAAGTTTCCACAGAAAGCCAGACTACATGTGTCAAGGCAAGATCCACACTTCCTAACAGAGCAGCCAGTCTTGGCAGGGGACAGAACAGACACAGGCAGTATCTGAAAGGAGGAAATTTCCTTTGCCATTGGATCTGGCAAAAAGAAAGAAAAGACATGAGATATAACCCTGAATCAGTTCAATGGGACCAACCTGGAAGAAGGAAAGTGAGGGACACAACACCAACAGCACTTCGGGGCAGGACAGATGATATTGTTTTTAAGTACTTAGGGCGTTATCATGGAGCCAGAAAATTAATGAGAAGCAAGCAGTGTACCCCAAAAAATTACACAGAAGTACAGGCATCCAACTAAGTTTTCCTGCACAAAGTAGAAGAATGGTCCAACCACAGTCTTCAGAAGCTGATCGTAAGCATAACAGCTACTGTCCTTACTCTACTTTCAAAAACGCATGTAGACCTTTTCCCTCCCTGCTGCACAATGCCACACAAATATACTGCTCTCGGTTAAGGGCTGAAGATGACCCTGCACCCAAGACACTTTTGGATAGAAGGAAAGAAAGTTTAAGGACTCAGAACTGTAGTCTATTTTCTCACAGAAAAAAACCTTTAAATATCTACAATGGTTTTCAAATTTCTAAGACTCCAGTTACAGTGAGAATGAGATAAAGCTGTTTCCAAAATGGTTTTGTCATCAGAAAAGCAGTAAAACTTAATAAAAAACCATCCTTGACTATGTATCAGCATTGAAAGCATTACGGGGCATGTTACCAACCAATAAAAACATGAAACAGAACACAGAACTGGAAAAATGAGTTTGTGGTTTCAAGTTTACTTTTTTCTTACTTGTTTTATAAGTGTCCTCCCTTCTCAAGACAAGTTATTTTTCAATTCTTCCCACCCTTTAGTTCATTACTGTTTACTACATGCCCTCAAACTGGGAGAGAAGAGGTGGGTAACAAATGTGCAAACCCCAAAACACATATAAATCAAATCCAAAGGCGTCTCCCCCCTTCTTGTATCCAGAAGTGTCCAGAGGGACCAGAATGAGAGAGATGAAGATATTGCCACCTCTGGAATACAAGTAGCACCAATTAACACATTTTCACAACACAGGGATTTTCTTACCAGGGCTTTCTCAAATTACTCTTTTTGAACAATACCATTCAAATGCTAAGCTGCAGTGAAGAGAACATGCAAAACTACCCAAACTAGTGTTTCCAACAAGAAGGAAAAAAGAATTCCCATTATACTGATGCCTTTTTTTTTTTTTCTGAATTAGGCTTAGAGAATTAGCCTTGTTTTTCTCATTCCATGATCATCAGGGATTTGTCCCTACTGCTATTTCAGGTTTAGTGATACATAAGCAATAATCATGGCAAGATAGAGTTTACCCTTTTTATATTGTTTTAGGTCCAAACTAGTTGGCAGGCACTCATCTGGACAAGAACCTCTTTCCTTAGTTGTTTCCTGCCACACTATGAGGTGATGCAGCTCCTGGTAAGCCTTCTAGCTGTAAAGTACATGTTTGTGTCACCACATGATCTAGCTCCCAGATTAAAATGATGAATGTGCAGGAATCAGGCATTCAACTGTTTCAGGAAAAAGACTTTTCAGACGAGGTGCAAAGCCAGGTGCCAGAGTGTGAAGAAACAAAAACCTAGGGCTGAAGAATCATCCCAGTTAAACACAGATACTCATTTGTGGAGAAAAGAAGTGTGGTATGCTAACAAAATGCTGGGTTTAGCCTTTCACGTTCGCTGCAAAAGAAGGCAGCAGATCCAACTGACCCAGTCTGGTGAGTTGAACTTTCCCAGTACCCATTACGTTATGGTACTGAATAAAGAAACACAAATATGTGACAGGTTTGCTTATAGAGTTTCACTTTTTTAATACAAACTGTAACTGATTATTTCTTCCCTGTCTCCCCAAATACCTTAGGGCTTCAGTTAATATCAATAACTGCTTGAAACAATTCCTTTCCTTTAATTATTGCAGCAGACAACCATAAAAAGAAGCTGTGCAGATTCAACTTTGCTGTAACATGGATGTAAGAGATAGAAACAAAGAACATTATCCAAAGAAAGTTGAAGTCTTAGTTAAAAATCTTAATACAGTTACCACCACTGATTTCACTCAATAATGTCAAAGGATCATTCGTATTCAGGAATAATTTCTTCTATAATATCTGTCTATGAAGATATTAGGTTTTAAAAATAAAAAAAAAGGTCACAGGAGTATTATGCACAGATTTACTCCTTGCCATTGCAGAGTCTGGAAGCCCTGACATTTAAGATTACTTGAGAGTAAAGCTGTCTGTATTTTGTCTGTATTTGCAATTTGAAACGAGAAAGTATATCCTGCCTGTTTAAATTTTTCTCAGACAGGTTGCCCAAAAAGATGATTTTAAAGATGCCCAAATGTGTATCAGCCTAAGGCCATATTGTACTTGCTTTCAGTTTCAAAGACCTCCTTTCATCTCTGAAGAATGGAATGTTGTTTACTGCTCAGGATGTTTTGCCATGTTATCATGAATGTATTACAAATGTTCTGCTTCTTGAACTAGAGAGTGTTTGTCAAAACCATTCTTTATTCTACATGAGAAGTCTTAAGCCTTTTATAAATCCTGCTCAGCCATATTGGGACACTTAAAACATTTAAGTCTAAACATCCTTCTCAAGTTTTCTATCCTGCATAATTTCACAAAATAGAAAACAAAAAAAAGTCTGCAGAGAATTGCTTTCTGGTAGCATGAAGCCTAAGTACTCTGTACTGGAACGCAAGCTTGCATGCAAGAAATGAAAATAGTTTCACTGACAGAATTATTTTCCCCTACTGCCCTCACAACTCAGTCCAGTAGAGCAACCTAGGCAAGAAGCACCTTAAAATACAGCAGGTAAATTTGTGACAATGAAATGTTATCAACGTTATGGCCAGTTTTAGGTGTGTTATGCCCACTTTTTTTCAAACTGCCAATGTAAATAATGGATCACCACTTTTCAATAGGAACACTGTTGTCTGTCTCGCTTTGGCACAATCTCACAAAGCTTTTAATAAAGCAGACATTACACAGATGATGAGAAGTAACTGAAAAGTACCTAACAGGCAGACTTGTTAAATATTCAGAAACAAATCCGGCAGTAATTACAGAAAACCACTATGAAGAACAAGAATAGTTACTCGATAGAAGCTTGGGGGAAGATGAGAAAAGGATGGGGAAAACTGTTCTTGTGCTAGACTCATTTTTTCAAGTTTTTCCAGTGGTATTCTAAAAAAGTAACTATACATTGAGCTTCATGTGAAAGTGCATTAAAAAACTTCAAAGAAAAGAAGAATAGCAGCTCAAAAGCTGTGAACGCTGCTTTCTGCAGCTTGTTTAGAGACAGATTCCTTCCCTTCACTTGTGGTAAACAGGGAGCACCGAAAGACCTAATTGTAATATCCATGTCAGGAGAACAAAAAAAAAAAAAAAAAGAAAAAGAATCAGTGAAACAAGTCTATCTCACCTGCTTAGTGAGGTCTCCTGTCACAGTCCAGGATGAAGAAAAAACTACAGGACAGATGCCATCACTGCCTCATTTACACTGCAAATAATTGAGCTTTATACAAGGTCCTCCTAGACTCCACTATGCAAAAATTACAGAGTATTTTCAATTCTAGCATCTATTCAAGCTTCCTGGGCCACAAGAATGAAAAAGACTTTAGGTGCATCAGAAAGGACAACTTTACCATCACTTCCTCCACATGAGAGTTACTTTCCAGGCTTCTGCTCACTGATTGTGTCAGCAGCAAATCAGCCTTTCACTTGAGCAGTATCGAGGTTTCCTGATAAAGAGGGGAAAAACCGGCAGTAACACCTGAACGACAGCCGGCAACACATTTCTCCCATCTCCAGCAAAGATGATGAACAATAACAGCAGTAGGTTGCCAGTCTCCTTAGAATGAACTTCCGCAGCCACGAAAGCTTCCCAGGTACTGGAAACAGTTAATCTCCAGCACATTAAGAGATTTGTTCAGAAAAGAGTTGTTAAAAGCACTTTCAATGCACTTTTAAAATTCAACGTGAACCAGAACTGGCTCATTGCAGGAAGTGAATAGTCTGGCTTTATTTATTTATTTATTGCTTTTTGGGAGGGTCTAGCCAAGGCAAGCTCACAGAATATTTGAAAAGAGTCCCTATGCATTGTGCATGGATAAATGTCCACATCAAATGTCAAATCAAGATCCATTTCAGAAGTCATCCAAAACTCCATTGAGAGTTCAACTGAGGGGCTATAACATCTACCTGCTGTGGAAGGTCACCACAGCCTCGTTACCCTCTGCTGCAGATGGAAATTTCTCTGAGTCATCATTTCATTCCATCCTTTACACAGTGCTCTTATCCACAGTTCTTCCTTCAACACACAATTAAACACCCCAACAAATTTATCGGAAACAATCCTTTCCAGCACCTAACACATAAACTGGGTTTCTTACAGAATGTAACAAACCATTTTGTGTGAAAGAATTTTCACTTCTTCCTACAGGGAAAGATAAACATAATTCAGTATGAAGACATAACACCACGCAAGTCATTGCAAGCCATGTCTGTACCTCCAGCCCAGATCCAATGTTTGATGAATCCAAAGGTCTTTTCTTCCTCGGTCCGATGGCTGCCAAAGCTGTGAGGTTGGCTTCTCTTTGTTGCATCTGTGCTAACTCCAACTGCTGCATCTAATTTAAAAAAAAAAAAATCTACGTTAATTATGACATACATTATCCTAAGGATCTTGTTCTCTTTATAGCAGCTTCAGACAGTTCTGCAGTTCCTACTGACACAATGTACTTCAAAGCATCTTTCCCTGTCTTTACAGACACTTCTGACAGACTCCAGTACTGCTGTCATGCTTAGAGCACTATAGACCGCGCCATGTAACACCTTTTATGAAGACCATATTGTGGTATCAACGCAGCCTTAAGAGGACCCTTGCAGCTGGTTTATCAGCTCACAAGCTTTGCCATTTCTGATTACCAGAAAATATTTATCTGAATTGGTTTATGAAGTCGGATTAGTGTTAAAAAAACAGAGTTACCAACTTCTGGGAACTGGGCACGTTCTTAGTTCAAAATCTCAATTCATGACTACACAAGCAAGATACTCAATTTCTTCATGCTGTATTACCTGAACCCAGCACTCAATATTGCCATTGTGAAACATCCAACTGAACAGGATGCTGCCACTGACTGCTAGTCTTTCTTTTCCCAGTACATATTTGAATGTTCAGAAACATCTGAAGTAAGGTAGAGAGATACGCTGCATGTTTATTTTCACTCACCTCCAGAAACCATTCAAAACAAAGAAATCGTTAGAAACAACCTTTACCTGGGTTAAATAAACTTGGGACAGAATAGAAACCTACAGCAAAGAGGATTAAAATAAAAAATAAGCTTTATGCCTGCATTTCAAGGTCCATACTATTTCATCTATCCAATAACTATAGATGCCAGCTGCTCTGGAGCTCAATCCAGTCAAGTCTGCTGACAGACTTCCTAGCTTGGATTGTCCACCTTGCTATTACAACCACATCACTTTCAGATTCACCAGCTGTCCATCTTGGAGCATAGGTGGAGGGGAACACTCTTTCTGGAGAGTGAGGTGGAGAATGAAGGTTTTCCAAACAGAGACCTCTGGGTTTGATCTTAACCCTTAAATGATCTGACTTGCCACTAGAATGGCTCCTTAGTCCATTCTCTCCCCATTCACTGGACTTAAAATTGTTCACATGGGGATTCCTCTGCATGTGTATGTGTGCACATCTTAAAAAAATTAAAAGTACAACAATACCATGGCAGGAAAGCATCCAAATCTCCTCTCCTCCCCCCTCCCACTCTAAAAACAATTAATTAATTGGAGTGCCTCATCCAGGCAATACAGGTATTTTGCTTATTAAGTTTGCAACACACTATGATTTTGCTTGCTTTTCATCTCTCAGAGATCCCATTTGGAGAGGAGAAAAATCAGACGACAACTGAGCTTGCAGCACCTACATGGTATTACTCCCCTACTTGCTCCCACTTAAAGATGAATCCACAACAAAGAAATACTGTGGGGTTTTGGGGGAGTGTTTTGGGGAGGAGAGTTTTTGGTTGGGTGGTTTCTGGGTGGCTGTTTCTACAAGTCTTATTTTACTTCAGATAAGTAGACTTTAGTAATGCTGGCAACTTCACATCAAGTACTGCAGCAGCTAAGGCTATTTAAAAAACCAGTATTTCAGGGCAAGTTTCCTAAAAGGGCATTCTTCCCTGGAAGACTAAATTATCCATATGCTCAATATTTTTTAGCAGAAATCAGGGAAAGCAAGACTTTAACAGATATATTGAGAGTGGAATTTTTGGGGGGTTTGGTGTTCATTGTTTTTTTTTTTTTGAAGATGGGATGTTTCAGTTATGAAAGCAACACTATTTGCAAGTCAGCTTTGATCACACTATGTAGGCTTTTGCTTATGGAAACACAGTAGTACTTTTTCAATGCCAGATACAATCATTCACTTACCACACACACTATTCTTGCTTTTGTGTGCAGTGTAAACACTTACAAGGTTCTTTATCAGAATTCACTGAGTTCATTGGTGTTTTGCTTGGGTTTTTTTTTTCCAAATATACAGTATTGCTTTCAAGAATACTTTACATACTACAGATTTTAAGACTACTAGTGTTCTGCAAACGTCTGAGGTTAACTCTAGCCAGCCTACTTTCATAAAATGTTTAAGATAAACTTTTCTTTAGTCTCAGTCTTGAATATATATCTTTATATTCAGGACCACACTGCAACCAATCAGAGATGGGGGAAAGTAAAACTAAACCTGAAAAAGTAACTTGCAACTTCACAGACTCTGTGAAAGGCTGAGGCTTAGAAACTACTTTTATGTGACGTCTTCATCACTCCCTGTGATGAAGCAGGAGCAATAAAATGCTTAGAATAAGCACCAAATCTCAGCAACAAAATGCTGAGATTTTTTGGCAGAGGCAGGTGCTGACTCCCAGCCTCAGCTGCCCAGGCCTCCAACACCTGGAGCCACTCCTCCTTACAGGGAGCTATGGAGCATCCCTGTAGAAGTAAAGTACACCTTCCTGCTAGCAATGTAGTTCAGTCATCACAATGGTCACATGTACACCACAGTCTTCTTGCCATGAGAAGAGGCATTAAAACATGCCATGCACACAGAATCCCTCTGGGGAAAGATTAAATTCCAAAAGGCTCCACTGACAAAGAAAACCAGAAGGCGAAAGATAATTTGCTTTACTTTTAAGAACCATTACACTTAAAGTAAAAGGACTTTTAAAACCATTAAACTTAAAGCAAAACCAAAACAAAAGCCTTTATTAGCCTAACGTTTTTTCCATCCCTGGGAGTCATTAGAAAACATATCCCCCTTCTCTCTCAACCCTACAAAATGTATACCAACCAGCTCTACTGTAGTCAGACATGTCAGAAACGTGTGGCTGCTGAACACTTCTGGCTTGAAGCAGCATTGAAACAAGACCCCCTCTCCTTTTAACAGCTGATGTTGATGGGCAGCCATGGTCAAGTCTGAGGAGAAGACGCAGAGCTATGAATTAAATAGCGAGAGGGCTTTGGGTTGGCATCAGCATGGGGTGGAAAGGACTGGGCAGGTCAAGTCTCTGATAGGGGAGTACCAGAATGCTGCTCTGGCTGAGGATGGGTAGTACCTTTGCACCATCACCATTTTTACCCCATGCAATTCAAGCAGACAAAGCAAACTGTTGGCACAGACATCCTGCAGGAGTGAGCACTGCTGCTGGAGGGCAGTGCTGGCAGAGAACCCACCAATAACAAAGGAGAGGATGACACTTGGGGGATGGTATGCACTTTCTAGAAACAGAACTGCTGCATCTTTGACCAGGCAGTTCCCAAGACAATGCTGGAAATGCATGTCATTACTAACGTCTACTCTCTCCGATACATTTTCCACCTCATAACCAGTCAAAGGATTTTTCAAAAAATACAGAATCTCACCAGGGTTTTGGAGCAAAAGAAAAAAAACTTCATAGTCTTATTGCATTCTACACATCCCAGGGATTTTTCTGAGAACATAATTAAGACAAATGAATTTAAACACTCAATCTCCACAATGGACTCAACAGATCCCCATTAAGTGATATGGGCAGGCATCCAAATTACCCTGCTCAAGCCAGCAAAATCATCTTTTCATCAAGTTTTGTTCCATTAAAAAGTGTGAGATTAAATGTCCAAACATTGTGTGAGCAGTTAAAAGCACAGGATAAGGAGAAGACAGGCAGATAATGCCAAGGGATACCCAAGGATACTGGCTGGCTAATTACTGCCAGATTTTCCTAAACAAGATTAGGAAAGAGCAAAAGGCAACTGTGTAGAGTCAAATCTTTCTTTAACAGTTAGGTTTGTAGCACATAAGTTAGGGAAGAAAAATCACTGCAGCAAGTGACAGTAAAAGTAGTAAATACACTTCATCAAAATACAACATAGAGAAGTTGCATCTATTGTTTTGCCTTTTAGAGGTCAGTTAATTAACACTGGTGTCTTTGACTACAATAATATACAAATAGAAACTGCCACACCCAGGTGAAATCATAATGTCATACCCATCTTGAATTTTTTCCTTGAAGACAAAAGGCTGTGATGGCAATTCAAGAGGAGCAGGGCGAAGCTGCATCATACATCAGACCCCCAAAGGACCAGGTTTCCCCTCAACCTGACCTACTTTGTCTGCTGAAAGATGCTGCTGTTCCACTAGAAGAATCCAACACATGCTCTGTTCAAAATTCATTCCTCAAGAAGGGCACTGAGAGGGGACAGTCTCATTTGCAAGTGGCAAATGAACGTTCATGCTCCTTCCCCCCCTTCCGATTTTCACATATGCTAAGAATTGCAGTACAAAGAGTTCTAAAACCCTGTGTATAAAGATCAAATTGCTATGAAAACGTCTCAGAACCTGTAAAATAGTCTTTGTTGCTGCTGGCCTTTTTAATAATAAAAATAGGGTTTAAAGTCTGGTCTTGCAGCAAGCAGGAATCTCTAGGGTGACACAATAACCATTTTAGTTAATCTGACCTGCAGCACAAATCAAGAAATAAGGTATGTTTTAAAGTCCTTCCTTATAGTGAAATGGCATTTGCAGCACGGCTGTAATCACACAAAATGAAAGGTTTTAAAATTGACCTCTCTGTTCTTCACTCAGTCCTCTGAGAAAAATATTTCTTTTTCTGCTCACAGAAATTCTTTCTCACTTATGTCTCATACTCTGCATTTCAGAAAATGTGCAGTATCTATTTTTACTATTACACTAGTGACATTTTTGAGGCATTTTAATATTAAAAAATAAATTTCGAGTTGTGTAAGAAGACAAGAAGTACTTCAGCTATGAGATGCTATGAGATGCTGAGACTTTTACTTAAAGCAACACTGCAGATTGGTTTTAAACTCTTTCGGTTACAAAGTACATGCTATGTGGTTGTCCGAACTATCAAAGCCCCACTAACTGAAGTTATGCAAATCTCTATATTTTCCCTAAACAGGAAGAATCCCTTGGACACAACTGATGAAAAGTATATGCTACTACAAATAAAGCCAACTAATTCACACCAGCTAATCCATGATGTGTACAGCAGAGGGTGGCTGTATAATCAAAGGAAGGGGAAAAGGAGTGCTACCTAGCTGAACACATGTTCACCTT